AGCCTGTGGTATCAAGCAGGCATATGAAATGGTTTTGCTATACAGGGATGCTATTACTTTAAAAAATAAAAACAAAAACACTTAAGCTAATGTTAAGGAGGGGTGATGGTAAATAAACGCTATATATTGGGTCCTGGTTTGCCGGATTGAAGGGCTCAAATTCTGTCCCAACTACTAACTAAGAAAGCAATGACTACAGCCCCAAACTACAAGAGAAATTCAAGTCTTGGTTTCATACTTTCCTGCTTTCTAAATTACAGCCACCTATAATGACTCGAAATAAAATATTCTATAACCCATTAATCTAAAATGATCACCAAAGAAATCCATTCATACCACTTGGTCACTAAAGACTTTCCACACCTATAGACTGATAAAACATCAAAAGAAAAGTAAACCATGCATGAAATTCACATGAAACTCGTGTTGTTTGGTCTTCTGCAATTACCACCTAAGACTCTCTGGCAAAGTCAGAGAACTTGGGTAGAATGGCACTGTTAAGTCATTTCTTACCGAAATAAATCACCAGGCCAGGCGCGGTGGCTCACGCCTATAATCCCAGCACTTTGGGAGGCCAAGGCGGGCAAGATCACCTGAGGTCAGGAGTTCGAGACCAGCCTGACCAATATGGACAAACCCCGTGTCTACTAAAAATACAAAATTAGCTGGGTGTGGTGGTGCATGCCTGTAATCCCAGCTACTAGGGAGGGCTGAGGCAGGAGAATCGCTTGAACCTGGAAGGCGGAGGTTGCGGTGAGCCAAGATCATGCCATTGCACTCCAGCCTGGGCAACAAGAGCAAAACTCCATTTCAAAAATAAAAAAACAAATAAATAAATAAATCACCAGAGTCACGTAACATTTTGGTTAACGTCTTGATGTTAGTCTGCAGAGGGTTCTCTAATATTCACAGGCCTGTCTTGTCTAACTTGTTCATCATGTCTTCAGTGAGGACACAGTAAATATTCTAACTATATATGTTGATGACACAGCCCCAGGATGAATAGTTCATATCATGGTCACCAGAGTCAAGATTCAAATAATCTTGAAAAGAATACAGTCATCCCTTGGTCTACACAAGAGATTGGTTCCAGGACCCCTGAGGATACCAAAATCCAGATGCACAAGTCCTTTATATAAAATGGCATAGTATTTGCATATAACCTATGCACATCCTCCCATATACTTTAAATCATCTTTAGATTACTTATAATATCTAACACAATGTAAATGCTATGTTTTATTGTATTATATTGTTTTTATATGTATTATTTTTAATTGTTGTATTGTTATTTTTTCAAATATTTTCCATCCACAGTCAGTTGAATTCTCAGATGCGGAGCCCACAACATAAAAGGCTGACTGTAATTCTAAGAAGAACTCAAGGAGAATAAAATTGTTACAAGCAAAATAACAATAATCCAAGTACAAGATGAGGAGATTTACCTTAACAAAAATTCAAATCTAACTCTTGGGGTTTTAGTTGAGAAGTTTAAGGTGTGTGACTTAGCTGGAAATAGAGAGAAGGACAGAGACCAGTAATTTGGCAAGTGTGATAGATTATAAATGGCCACAAATTCTTTGTCACCCTTTCTGTCAAGAAGTGAGGTCTACGGCCCCACTCCTTGAATCAAGGTAGTCTCTGTGACTACTTGACCAATACAATACTGTGTTAGTTTGGGGTCCAAATCTTAAAGACTAGCAGTTGCTACTCCTTGTCATTTGGAATACTAAAGCTTAGAACCACATTGCCATGCTGTGAGGAAGCTCAAGCAACAACATGGAGGAGAACAAAGCCCCTGACCAACAGTTCTAGCTAAATTCCCAGCTGACAACCAATACTAACTGGCCAGCCAGGTAAGTGAGCCATCATAGCAATGGCTCCTTCAGCTCCAGCTGAGCCACTCCAGGTGATTCCAAGTTGGCAGAAATGAGTCATTTCCTCTGAGACCTACATAAATAGCACATTCATAAGCAAATAAATGATTGTTATTGTTTTAAGTCTACTAAGCTCTGTGGTGATTTGTTACACAGCTATTGATATGTAACACAGGAAACATTAACAGAAGAAGAACATTACTGCATCATGAGAAAAAAATGACCCATTTGCACTTTTGGCTGACCAGACTAAATTAGAAATAGTGCCCAGTTTTGGTGGTAACCATCTAGAAACAATGACAGGTCAAATGCAAAGAGATCAGAATGGAGAGAAGCATGAAATATGTCACAGGAGGAAGAAGTGACATAACTGAAGACATGTCTTGGATATACAAAGACCCACCAGGGACTGGAAGGGAGAACATTTTACGTATTTGAAAGACTACTTTGTAAACACACAAGAGTGGTTTTATCTTAAGATCAGTGGGTAGGAGGCTGTAGAGAGGCAACGTTCATCTTCGATAAGGAAGACTTCATTCTAAGGAAGAACATTCTAACAGTCTTTCAGAAAGGAAATGGACAAATGGCCTTTAGAACAAGATGTGCTATAATCTCTCTCCTGAAAAGTTACTCCCTACCCTCAATTTTCAAATCTGCAAGAATTCCAACTCATTACAGGAGACAAGTGCTGTGTACAACTCTGAACATGCCAACCCTATAGGGAATCGCTTATGTTGGTGAACAGCATTCTGGACCTAAAATTCAAGAAACCCTTGATTTTTCCATTAGCATTCCTCTTCTAGGATGTATGTTTTCCATGTTCCTTAACTGGCCTGCCACTGAAGCATAATCTGCCCATAAGTGCAGTCCTGAACTTTCTAAAGTGAACCAAAGACAAGTGTATATGTGCTGTTAACAAGTAGAAAGCAAGTGCAAAATGTTAGGAAGACCTCTGGGCATGAGGTAAAAAAACTAAGCATTTTCCTGTTTCATGACAGCATGATATTTAGGAGTACACTGTGGCTTTAGGAGAAAAAAGAAGAAGAAAAAGGAAAAAAAAAGCTGGGGGGAGGCTCCCTCAACCAAGCTATGACTAAGGGACATAATCCAACAACTTCAAGGAGCACAGACTTGCCAACTTTTAGCATGATGGAGTTACAATCAGCATTCTGAGTGACCCTAGGCAACTGAGTTAGCCTTTGTGCACCTCGTTTTCCTCATTTGGAAAATGCAAGCATTAAGGTCAATCGACATGGTTGCTGTTGAAGATTTTTTTAAGTCAAAAACAGATTTACCATGGGTACTGGGCCTGGCATAGAAGACATTTTAAAAATAATCTAGTTTGTTTCTTCTCTGGTAAAATAGGAAATTGATGACAGGACATTCTAACATAGCCAATTTCCCTTCCTTTCCCACTAAGACTCTGAGCTCCTCCAAAGCAGAACCATTTCTTACTGACCTGCACTCGACACTTACTATAGCACTGACCACAAGCTTGCTGAACCAATTAACTCATTTCCAACATCTTTCCAGCTTAAGCATTCTAGGGATCTGTAGCTTCAGATCGGGGGCAGAACTAGTTGCAAGTATTTATATGTCCTATATGTTTGGCTACAAAGTGCTTACACTTCTATAGGTGAAAAATTAACACAATTTTAATGAAATAAGGTAATCAGGTTTTTAATGTCTTCTTCATCTGCTAAAAATATCTGCTACATGAGGGCAGATACAATATTTTGTTCAGCATCATATCCCCAGAGCCTGGCAAGAGCTTCGTAACAGATGTAAACATTTTTGAATGAATGAATGAATGAATGAATGAATGAATGAATGAATGAAATGAATGAACAAATGTAAGATCTTTGCAAGTCTAAGTAAGGCAGAATTTCCTAATTTTAGCAATCCTTCCTAATTAAATTCAAAGTTGCTGCATTTAGGTATGACAAAATGTTTAAAAATAAAAACAGCAGATGTTTGATCTCTGGGTGGTAGAGAAAATTTCTTTTTTTAAATCCTTGATTTATTTTACCCTGCAGGAAGTCAACCAAAATACTGGCACCCAAAAAGCTCATATAATATGTCAGCTTAAGTCAAACATATTCTGCATCTACAAAGATGACTGGTACCAGTTGGTGTTTAAAAGTATTTTGACTACTGATCTCTGAACATATCAACTTTTAAAAATCATTTCAGCTAATGTAATTTTAAGATAAAAGAACAAAATCAGTAGCCAAATTATATGAATCTGTTCACCAAAATAATACGACTTTTATTCAACAAAGACAAATCAGGAACATATGGGGGTTATGGTAAGAATCGAAAATTAACCTGTCTTTAGAGAATGCTCAAAACTCACTCACTAATTCAGCAAGGATACAACTGTAGCGTCCAGGAAATTCCAAAGGGGGAAAATGGGACACGATGACTAAGGACAGATGTTTAGACTTCAGGGTCTGCGTCACAAAAAAAAAAAAAACCAGCATTGATTCTGATGCACAATTTTAAAAGGTGGCCATACAAAGGTCACTTTTTGGTGGCTCACATTTACTGTAATCTGCTACAAAGAGACCACTAAAGCCAGCACAGCAAAGTCAGAGGTGAGGGTCTAGGACAATCAACACATGCTATTTCTGAGGACAAGCCACTTTACTAATCTCTAAGGTTCTAATCACCCTAACAAAACAAAGCAAAATCCTATAATGAAACCAGCAGAGGACATAAGACAAACAGTAAATACAAAGTGAACCAGCATCATCCTGCCATTGTTCTGCAGCAGGAGTCTCAGCCACCCAGACGCACACCTTGCAGCAGCAATAAACCAGCCATGGCATCCCGGGAAGACCAGATCCTCCGCAGCAGCAAGTCACACTATTTTCTCCAATTTCAGCACTCACCTTAGGAAGTTTTAAAAAGGTAGGGGGAAGGTTAGAGGGCAAGCCAAGCAGGCTTGACCTGAAGCTCTTAAGGAAGACAATGTCATCTAACAAAAACTGCAGGCTCCAGTGAAATTTAACTGGGGTTTAAAAAATTTACATAGTCTTCCTTAAATTAAAACCTCATAGATTTAAAGAGAACATTTGAATCATACCCCCAGGAACTGCTAAATAGATACAACATACTCACAGATTTAGAGCAGCTGTAACTTTGGAGGAATGAATACAGTCCCACTATGAAGATGTCTTTCCCTCTCTTCTACCAGATTTTTTTTTTTTAAGCCAACAAAAAGAAGAGAAAATCCTCAATTTTAAAGCCAACAAAAATCCTCAATTTCTATTTTATTCCTTGGTCTCCAATGAGACTCTCAATTCTCAGGCACAAGCAAAGTAGTTGCCGAGGCAGCTGACAGCATCCCAGGGCTTTCCAGGGCAGAATTTAAGACATGTCAGTTAAAGTGGCAGCTACACTCACTGCTGTAGCGGATGCTTCTGCAGGAAGGGATGCCGGGAGATTTTTTTCCCCCAGTCTCTGCTGCAGCCTAATTCTAATCCATCACTGTTTAATTATCTAGAGAAACAGGCAAGGAAAATACAAATGGCCTGGATTTATAAAAACCACAGAATATTTTCATGATTTTTCATCTAATCCAGGGATTCATCTCCTATCTAAAAAAGGTCAATTAAGAAAAAAAAAAAAAAATGAATGATCTCTTTTGTCTTAAGGAAAAATGTAGGCTGTTATTGCCGACTTAGACGTAGATTTTATATCATGGACTTTTAAAAAAATACTAAATAAGAGAAAATTAATTTTTCCCCAAAGTTTTTAGGTTAATGCACAAAAGCTAAATTAGCAAAGGGGATTAAACACATATATGACATGACAGTCATACTAACATAGTTGGAAAACTCCACTTTTAAATTAATAATTGATCAACAATATTTGAAGTGGTTTTGATGAAACTTGAAGATAATAGGCAGAGGAAATACTAGTTCAAAGACTCTAAGATAGAACACAGTTCTAAAGTTCAGCTGTACTTTTCTGGTTTAAACAGATAAAAGCTCTCCTGGGGAATAAGGTGGTCGCTGACTTCACAAATTTCTTATCTTGCCTCAAGGGCTCTTGCACACGCTGGAACTGAAACTTCTTAGTATAGGACTCACTAATTTTTCTGATTATAAAAGTAATACCGGGGCCAGGCGCGGTGGCTCATGCCTGTAATCCCAGCACTTTGGGAGGCTGAGGCAGGCAGATCACAAGGTCAGGAGTTCCAGATCAGCCTGGCCAATATGCAGAAATCCCATCTCTACTAAAAACACAAAAATTAGCCAGGTGTGGTGGCATACACCTGTAGTCCCAGCTACTCGGGAGGCTGAGGCACAGAAACCCCATCTCTACTAAAAACACAAAAATTAGCCAGGTGTGGTGGCACACAACTGTAGTCCCAGCTACTCGGGAGGCTGAGGTAGAAGAATCTCTTGAAAACGGGAGGCAGAGGTTGCAGTGAGCCAAGATCATGCCACTGCACTCCAGCCTGGATGACAGAGCAAGACTCTATCTCAAAAAAAAAAAAAAAAGTAATATCAGGTAAAATATTGTGATATTTCCAAATTATAAAATAGTACATTCCTTGGAAAGGGCTAAAAAACAAAGAAGAAAATTAAAGCCAGCCATAATCTTATAACCCAGAGATAATCACTCTTAATGTTTTGCAATAATGTACTTCTAGTGTTCTTCCCCTCTGTATATACATGTACACATACACACACATCCCTCCATAGATATATATATATATATATATATATACACACACATACATACACACACACACACCTCATGTGGAGGGGACAAGACAGCTAAATGTATCTTTGATACTACTATTTTAAATTACCCTTTTCACACAGAATTATGTTATGATTATTTACCCAAAAATGTACCCTATAGTTAACCACCCATATTTCTAAAAGTTCAAAAGAGCATATGCAATGACAGTTCATTTATATCTGTATGCCTACTATGTGCCAGGCACAGAGGACACGGCAGTGAGCGGAGCACACATGGTCCCTGCTCCCCTCTTGCACTCAGTCCAGTTGGGGAGACAGATATTCACCAAATGACAGCAAATATCATGTGTGCTGTACTACAAAACTACAGATTCTTTAGAAACATGAAAAGACCTGGTGTTGTGAAGGTCAGGCTTTTTCAAGGAAGGAAAAGAGAACTGCAAGCCCAACTGCAAAATTATTCGTAAAGTGCATTCCACACATTCATTTTTCCATCAGTATAAATATCTCTCATCTAATTTTTCTTTTTTCCTTTCAAAATTGAGTCCAGCTTCCAACTAAATTTTTGTGAATAATATGTAACATGTAAGAGAATAATTGATCTAATGTGTACAGATCTTAAGTATTTAATCAATTACAACATATCCTTTTAGAAATTACAAAAGGTGGGCCACCCATATGATGTTAGATATCCCTTAAATGGTCAGTTACTGCAGGTTTCTTAGTAATCTCCAACCTAAAATGAAACATGCTCAGAGTCTCATGAAGCCTTACGAGATTCTTTTGAGAATACTGGACTCTTATCCTCTGAGATATTGTCAATATCTCTTATGACACTTTGACGAGGATTTTTTTACATGACCCTTTTGGTACAGTCTAAGAGGGGGAAAAAAGTCCAAATCATTTGTGGATAAACTCTGCCTTAAAGAGCGTAACTCCCCAGACTCTTATTGTGGGTTGCACATAGTGACCTCCTAAGACTGCAACATGGAAAGGGGATAGAGGTGAGGGGTAAGCCGTGACTTCGCAGTGGAAAAAACCTTACAAACAATATCCCAGCCAGGCAATCAAGGGCAATAACAGTGATAAATCATGTTGATAGTATGTATTCTTGATAGGATATGATGAAAATGACACTTTACCTCTTTGGGCTTCCTCCTTCAAACCCATACATAACCCCAGTCTAACCATGAGAAAAATACCAGACGAATTCCAACACGTACAAAATTCCTACATAATACCTAATCAGTACTCTTCAAATCTGTCAAGGTCATCAAAAACAAGGAAAGTCTGACAACTGTCACAGCCAAGAGGAGCCTTAGGAGACCTGACAACTAAACATCCAGTGATCTCCTGGATGAGACAGATCCTGTAACAGAAGAAGGATACTGGCCAGGCGCCGTGCGTGACTCATGCCTGTAATCCCAGCACTTTGGAAGGCCAAGGCGGATGGATCACCTGAGACCAGCCTGGCCAACATGGTGAAACCCCGTCTCTACTAAAAATACAAAAAAATTAGCCAGGCATGGTGGCAGGCACCTGTAATCCCAGCTATTTGGGAGGGTGAGGCAGCCACTTGAACCCAGGAGGCAGAGGTTGTAGTGAGCCGAGATCGTCCATTGCACTCCAGCCTGGGTAATAAGAGCGAAACTCCATCTCTCTCTCTCTGTCACACACACAAAACAGGCACGATGGCTCACACCTGTAATCCCAGCACTTTGGGAGGCTGCGGCAGGCAGATCACCTGAGGTCGGGACTTCAAGACCAGCCTGACCAACATGGAGAAACCCCATCTCTACTAATAATACAAAATTAGCCAGCCATGGTGGCTCATGCCTATAATCCCAGCTACTCGGGAGGCTGAGGCAGGAGAATGGCTTGAACCTGGGAGGCGGAGGTTGCAATGAGCCGAGATGACGCCATTGCACTCCAGCCTGGGCAACAAGAGTGAAACTCCACCTCAAAAAAAAAAAAAGGATATTAGGTAAAAACTAAGGAAATCTGAACAAAATATGGACTTTATAGTTAGTGATGTGCATCCAAAATTGTTCATAAACTGTAACAAATGTACCATACTAATGTAAGATACTAATCAAAGGGGAAACTAGGTATAGGGTCTGTGGGAACTCCAGTATATTTTCTACTTTTCTGTAAATCTAAAACTGTTCTTACAAAATTGTCTATTAAAAAAACATCTTTCCAAGAGTTACTTAGCTTTTTCTGATCACTAATAAAATACATTCCATAAAAATTCTGAAAATACAAAAAAATTATATAAAAGGAACTTTTCGAAAATTATAAATACCCTGTAATCTCAACACATGAAATAATCAATCCCAAACATACTATATGTATGTCCTTGCATAGGCTTCATGCATACATACACAGATAAACATATATGCATTGTTCCACCCCACATGCTATTCGATAGGTGCGGTAGTCTGAATAACGGCACCCAAGGTTATCCAGGCCTTAATACCTAGAACCTATGAATGGTACCTTATATGACAAAAGAGACTTTATAGATATTAGGGATCCTGAACAGACTCATTATTGTGGGTTATCTGAGTGTGCCCTAAAGGCAATCACAAATCAAATCTCCTTACAAGAGGGAGGTAGAGAGACACCGCAAAACAGAAGGTGGTGGGACCATGGAAGGAGAGTGATTTGAAGATGCTATGCTGCTGGCTTTGAAGATGCAGGATGTGGCCATGAGCCAATGAATGCAAGGAATGTAGCTCTAGATGCTGGAAAAGGCAAGGAAATGGATTCTCCTCTAGAGCCTCTCAAGGGAGCATGGCCAGGGGACACCTTGGTTTTGACCTAGTGAAACCCATTTCAGACATCTGACCTCCAGAACTGTAAGAGAATAAACCTGTATTATGTGAAAACACCAAGCTTTAATCTGTTATAGCAGCCATAGGAAATTAATATAACGGCCTGACTGACCTGTATTTTTTTTTTAATTGTCTGCTTATGTCCCTTTGCCAATATTTTCATCAAAGTGTTTTCTTTCTGGATCCGTTTGCAGTGTAACCTTCTTTCATATATGTTCAAAATCTCAGTTCATTATCTCTGAAATGGGTTTATAAGCGTTTTGTCATAACAATCAAAACTATCACTCTTTTTTCCTGTTGGTGCCATGTTTGAAACATACTTCTCTACCCAAAAAAGATAGAATTATTTGCCTTAAATTTGTCTTAATATTTAAACAATAACATCTCCAACTATTGTCCTTTATTACTAAGAACCATACAAAGCAACACATCCCTGCACATGTGTCCCTCTCCCCTTTGCCCCTGGCCCCGGCCCCTGGCCCCTGGCCACTGTCAACATTGAGACTTGACTGGAGAAAAAATGTGGACTCCAGACTTCTTGGACACTCCCATTCCATACCCATACCCCCTATGTCAAGTCTGTCCCCCTAAAATAGCTTAATGCCTGATGTAAAGGATGTGTTCAATAAAGGCTTTTTAAACCTGGAGTGTCTATAAATTCATAAAACTAGCATTAAAAAAAAAATGCAATGCAGGCATCCTTTCCTTCCTTTTCCCTGTTTTGATGCGGCAGGTCTCACAACTGGAAAATGAGCAAGGATCACACTCACTTTTATTTCTTAGATATTTGTTAGGTTTTTTAATAAATGTATTCTTTTTTTAACTCTTTATAAAGTATTTTTATAGTTTAAGGGAGCCATTGTGAGACTGTATGAAATAGCTATATCAAAATGTGTTGTATCTTGAAAAAAATGCTTTTACAAAAACAGCAGTGCTCTTCAATATATTATACGTATATACTATGTTACGTTTGCTTTACACTTTGCAGTTTTACAAAATGCTTTCAAATAAATTATTTTGTGGGTTAAATACATATTACCAAATAATTTTTACTTATATGGGATTCTCTGAAAAGGTATCCTTATATAAGTTACATAACTAAGTTCTGCTGAAAATATAGGACCCATCTACTGTACTGAGACAAAGAGAATGTATTGTTTAAAATATACGTTTTACATAGCCAATCACAGGCTTAATTTTCTTACAGTGATTACATAAAATTATTTTAATATAAGCAAGCTACACATTACAGGTATAATTTCTTTCAAAATAGGCTGAAATTTTTAAATGGCAAAGAATCCCTTAAGCCAATGGGAGATCTGACACACAGAACTTTATACACACACACACACACACACACACACAGAGACTTTTTTTTTTCCTCCATAAAAGTCAAGTTACTCTTGCAGAAAACTTTCCTAACTACTAAAATAAATAAAAATCAAAAGCTTATAGCTGTATTGCCTACAGGGGAGACCAAAAACTATGCCCACACCTTTGAAAAGGTTAATTCATCAGAGCTATATGGAGTTTTAACATTTTTCATTCTAACTATAACATTCTGCTTACAAGGTAA